GACTCCTTTTTTCTTCTTTATATACTCTTTGGATTCTATTTGCTTTTCTTTTTCTAGCATCTTGAAAAGGAAGCCTAGAGATTACTGACTATCAGCTATTCTTTTGTAGTATAGGCACTTAAAACAATAAGTTTCCCTCTTAAGCACTGTTGCATTGCATCCCATAGTGTTTGATATTTGTATTTTCATTATCATTCAGCTAAATCAGAAAAATTTCTAATAATTAGAAAACTTTCTAATTTTTGTGATTCATTTTATCCACCATTAGATAAAAATATGTTGCTTAATTTCCAAATATTTGAAGATATTCTGTTTATCTGCTCTTTAATTTTAGCTTAAGCCCACAGTGTTTAAAGAACATATACTGATTTCAATATTTTAATATTTATTTCAACTTCTTTCATGGCCTAGCCCAGGAGTTGGCAAACACAACCACAGGCCAACTCCAGTGTCATGGGAGCCTAAATGGCTGGTATTTTTGCAATGGTTGTATGTAGTGACACATATTAATTAAATCCAAGTGCTGAAGTATGTTGTATCTATATCCTTACCTATTTTTCAATTCTTACTTTATTAGTTACTAAAAGCTTTGTTCAAAATCTCCCATTATTTCGCCTTTTGTCTCTTTTTGTTCTCTCTGCACGTGTGTGTGTACACCTGTTTTTAGGTACATAAGAATTTAGGAATATTATTATACTTTTTTTTCTGTTGAACTGACCCATTCATCATAAGTGTCTGTATTTCTTCTGATAGTCCTTGCCTTAAAGAATAGTCATTTTGCCCTACCAGGCTTTTTTTTTGTTTTTTTTTTTTGGTCAGTCTATGCATAGTATGAGTTGCCATCCTACTAATTTTAACCTTTTTTGTGTTCTTACATCTAAAGTTTACCTCATATGTAAACAGCATGTAGCTACACTTCACTTAATACAGTCTGCCAATATTTAGTTCCTAAATGGAAAATTCAGGTATTCACATTTAATGTGAATTAAACTGCCATTTTGCTGTTTCTTTTCCAGTTGTCCCATTCATTCTCTGCTGCTCTATTCTTCCCGCTCATTTTCTTTCGGATTAATCAAGTATTACTTTGCTGTTCCACTGTAGCTTTCTAATTTTACCTTCTTTCATTGTCCTGTTGGCGGTTACCCAAGAGAGTAGAATATACAAATCTGATTTAGCCGTCTGCTTTAAATGAGTACTTTTACTACCTCCAAAAAAGTGTACAAACCATACAACAATTTAACTGTATTTATCCGTTCTGGCTTTGTTCTATTGCCATATTGTTCACTTTTATGTATGTTACAAATACTACAAGACATTATTATTGTTACTTGAAACAGTCAATATTGTCTTATGTTGTTACACCTTCTAGCACTCTTTACTCTGTCCATTAGTTCCATGCTTCCAAAATATGGATAATTTTCCTTTAGCCTGAAGACTTCCCCTCAGTATATCATGAAATGCAATTCTGATGGCAATGAAATCATTTAGCTTGATTTATTTCTTTGGTTTAAAGTACCTTGATTTTGTCTTCATTTGTGAAAAATGGTAAAGAATTCCAGCTAGGTTTTTTTTTTCTTTCAGCACTTTAAAGACATTATTCCCTTATCTTCTAGCTTTAATAATTTTGTTTAAAAGCCACCTGTCAGTCTTGCTATGATTCCTTTGAAGGAAGTATGTCCTGTCTTCTCTAACTGCATTTAAATTCTCTTTATCTTTGATTTTCAGGAACTTGACTGTACTTGGATGGGTTTTGTGTATATGTTTGTGTATGCACTTGTGTCCAACTTGTGTCCACCCTGTTGGGCTTTGTGAACTTTTTGATTCAGTAATTTAAAGTTTCTCATCAGATTTGGAAAATTCCCAATTACTTTTTTCTTTAAATATTTCTCTTGCCCTTCCCCTCTCTCTTCTTCCAGGATTCCAATTTCATTGTTGTTGGAAGTTCTGTCTGTGTCTCACATAACTCTCATGCTCTCTTTTATTCTTTTTCTGTGATTCAGTTTGGATATTTTCTGCTGACTTGCTTCTGAGTTTTCTCATTCAGACTTCTGATGTGTCCCATCTGGTTTGTAACAAATCTAATTAATTCTCAACTTCAGATATTGTATTTTGAATTTCCAGAATATCCATTTGGTTCTTTTTTTTTTTTTTTAACAGAAAACTGTCTATTGAATGTTTTATATTTTCATACATTCATTTACTTCTTTTAACATACATACTAGTCATTTTAAATTCCACTAATAACTTATTGGCCAAAAGTAGTCACATGGCTCCACCTAACCACAAGTGGACCAGGAAGTGCAATCCTGTCTTGTCCGGGGAAGGTATAGAGATATACATACTTGAAGAACAGCACTAATGACTACCACACTTGGCTAAGGTCACATAAATAAGTGTTAGAGGTCAGGTGCAGTGGCTTATGCCTGTAATCCCAGCACTTTGGGAGGCTGATGCAGGCAGATCATGTGAAGACAGCAGTTGGAAATCAGCCTGGTCAACATAGTGAAACTCGTCTCTACCAAAAATACAAAAAAAATTACCAGGCGTGATGGTGCATGTCTATAATCCCAGCTACTTGAGAAGCTGAGGCACGAGAATTGCTCTCAAACCCAGGAGGCAAAGGTTGCAGTGAGCCGAGATCATGACACTGCACTCCAGCCTGGGTGACAGAGCGAGACTCTGTCTCAGAAAAAAAAAGTCAGAGCTTGGATCTAAATACAGGTATTTTTGATTCCAAACATCTTTGAACTTTTATTACGTATTTTTTACTACAACAAAACCTCTTTTGGAGCTATTGTGAAACTAAACGTTTTTATAAAATTTTATATTAACCTTTGAATAATGAATATATTGAATGGGTTCTATATAAGTTCTCATATGAATTAACTGAAATAGTCTATTAAAAAACATATTTAAATTAGGTCTAATACATACACAGAAAAGCTAAAAATATAAGTATATAATTCAATGAACTATTGCGAAGTGAACACACTTGTGTAACCATCCTCTGAGTCAAGAAACAGAACATCACCATGACCCCACAGATCCCTCTCATACTTCCTTACAATCACTACTTCCTTTTCATCCACCCAAGGTAACCACTGTCCTTACTTCTAACATAATATAGTAATTTTGTCTGTTTGGACTCACGGATAAATAGGATCAGACAGTAAAAACGCTTGAGTCTGACTTCTTTCACGTAACATTATGTTTGTGAGATCTGTCCACACTGTAGTTTGTAACTGTAGTTGGTTTATTTTCTTTCTGTAGAGTATGCTAAGAAGACACAATCATATATTCATTCCTTCTGCTCTTACTGCACATTTGGGTTGTTTGAACTTTTGGGGTATCTCTAACAATGATATACAATCTTGTACCTACTTGCACATTTTTCCTGGACACATATGCATATACCTCTTTGAAACGATTAGCCAAGGATAAGCTCAACATCTGTAGCTACTACCGAATAATTTTCAGGGGTATAATTTGCAGTCCCATCAGCAGCATATGAATATTGCAGTTTTCATTTTTCTACATCTTCTCCAACATCTAAATATAGATGAAGTTATTTCCAATGAAAATTTGGTGTTGGAATTGGGTAGTGCAGTGAATGCCAAATATATAGTGAATTTGAAAGGCTTAGTTTAAAAAAAGTAAAATCTCAATTATATTTTAAGATTGAAGGCATGTTGAAATAATATTTTGGATGCACAGGGTTAAAAATTGCTAAAATAAATTTCATCTGCTTTTTTCCCCTCCTTTTTAATGTAGCTACAAGAAAATTTCGAATTATGTGTGGCTTACACAATAGTTCTATTGGATAGTGCAGCTCTAACACCATCAATACCTAAATTAGTAGAAAACTCAAAAATATGCCTCTTAAAGTATGGATATGTTGGTTGCAAAAACCAGAATACTTGTTACATAAGCTGAGTTAAGTGTGCTATTCCAGCAGAGAATATCTCAATTAGATACAGACATTGAACACTTGCTCAATTACTAGATCATTTTTTTTTTTTTTTGTAAGACAAAGCTGAATGCTAGTCAGTTTGTAATCTGTGCCTCCTAAAAGAGAAAACCTTAACCTTAACTTTAAACTACCATGCGTATTGCCTGTAGCATGCTGGAAGATTCTTTTAGTAACGAGATTCAACAAGTCTTCTTGGCTAGTGCTTTAAATCACATATACCCTATGTTATAAAACCAGTGAAACCAGAAAGCAAACCGTTCTCCTCACACTGCCCAAAACACCTGCTAACAGAGCGCATACTCATATACCAAAGCCAAAACGATGACAGAAGTTTGTTCTTTTTAGTTTAACGGAGTTAACAGGTGGTGGTTGGGTGAAGGCAGGAGAATGTCTGTTGCTGGCCTTAGGCCTAAGATAAATAAGGGAATGAGTGAATGAATAATTAAAAACGACACACACTAGTCAGTGTAACTATCTAGTAAGTTAAATACGCCATGACATCTAATGATGGCCTTGGAGACAGAGAGCAGGCTGGAGCCTGAGCATGTGACGTGATGACAGCCGAGTGGAAGGGGTTCCGTCCTGGCTATACTAGCTGAAACCCAAAGCAAATCCTGCCCCAGCACAAGGCACCCCGTTCTGCGCCTCCAGTGTGTCAGTCAGCTACGTGCATTTTCCTTCAGGATGGGCAAAAATACTTCGTCATCCTCCCACTCCCCAACAGCACAGAAGGGGCCGAAAGGCAATTACAGGCCCTTACGGAGCTGCTCCAGGGGCCGCGAGAAAGTTATCAACATCCTGGAAAAGACAAACCCAGTGGGGTGCACGTGGCCTCTGACAGCGACCACCATCGCTGCACGGTGTGGCCGCCCCATCTTTCACTTTCCCATCGTTAGGAAGCAAAGCGACCCCTAAGCTTGGACAAAGCGCGCGAAAGCCCAAAGCCTGTCGCCTCCACCGGTCAGCTCCCCGCTCCGCTGCTGGACCCGACAGGTGTCGGGTAGGCGGGCCCGCCCCATAGCCTACTCACCCAGCTCCAGGGCCTGGTCGCACCTGAGCAGCGCGGCCTCGGGCTGCTGCTGGCGCTGCAGGCTCCGCGCCAGGCCCGCCAGCCTGCGCACCCTGCACTCGGCCGGGAAGCACCTCTCCAGCAGGCCGCACAGCACCACGTTCACGCGCCGCGCCTGAGGCCGCGCGGGCCCCGGCTCCACGCAGCGCTTGCAAACCGTGAGCCCGCAGGGCAACGTCACTGGCCTGTACAGCAGCCGCCGGCAGCGCGGGCAGCCGAGTAGGTCGCGGGGCGTGCGGGGCGCCGGGGCCGGCCCTCCCTCCGCAGGCGCCTCCGGCTCGCAGCCCGGGTTCTCAGCGGACGGCGGCCGCTCGCGCAGGTCTACGGCGCGCACCAGGCCGCCCGCCAGCTCCTCTAGTTCCTCCGGCCGCAGCGCCCCGAGCCGCGCGGCGCCACGGAAGGCGCCCAGGGCCTCGGGGAGGCGGCCGGCGCGGGCCAGCGCGTCCCCCAGCCTCAGGCACAGGCCGCGGTCCGGTTGCGCCAGCCCGGCCAGCAAGGAGCGGAAGAGCTCGGCTGCCATCTCGTACTCGCCCGCGCTGAAGGCCTCGTCGCCCTCCTCCCAGCGCTGGGCGATCGGCTCCGCGCGGTCGCAGCCGGGGCACTGGGGCGGCGGCGGCGGCGGGACGGGCTCGGGGCTCATCACCGCGGGGCTTCGACGACGCGAGTCCGGAGCGAAGGCGCGGAGCAGGGAGGATGCGCTGCTGCTGCCGCTGCCGCTGCTGCAAACTGGCCGGCGGGAGCGCGGTCTCAGCCTTCGCCAGCAGCCACGCGCGTCTGGGGGCGGCGCGCTGCCAGCCGCTGAAGTCGTGGGCGGGGGCGGGCGCCCGGCTCGGGCAGCGTCCTCAGCGCGGCGTGGGCGGCCGGCTCCGCAGGGTCGCAAGCGCTCGGGGGCGGGAGCCTCACAGCCCCGTGGGCTGAGGTAACCTAGGTCGCTGCGGGAACACGGTGACCTCGCTCCAGCTCTGAGTCTCCTCCGATGCTTTCCCCCTCTCCTGGGGGCCCTTGCGCGATTGCACGCGCGTCCTCCGCCTCCCTGCGGAGGTGCGTGGGCCCTGTGAGCAGGTGGCTTTGGCTTTGGCTGCTCGCGCGCGCGCACCGCGGCACCTGCGCTTTCCCGGAGGCCTGGTCTCTCCCACAACCTGTGGCTCTGCTTAAGCGAGAACCCAGGAAAAGTCACCAAAGAATCACGCGTCTCTAGCTTCGACTTAGGAAATTGTCCTAAATGACTGGGGAGGCTGAAGTGGGCACCCAGAGACCCCCGCCCTCAGCGAGCTTCTCTTAACGAAACTCTAGGCTGAGGCATTTTAGAACTCATTTTAACAGAAGAACGTGGAGGGCCAAGACAACCAGATGTCGGGAGGAGGAGGGATTTGAGAAATGGACAATTGTATTGTGCCCTTGATTAGAAAGCAGAAATCGAATTAGAAATAGAATTCTAATTAAAAGAATTGGAATAGAAATAGAAAGTGTGCCTTAACATGGAGTACTGCAGACAGCAGTTGCTGGAGAGAGGGAGTTAAACGCTCCGTTGGTGTACAAGCAAGGACTAAATTAAAATCCTCTGTGCGCATTAACCAGGTTCAGAATTTCTCCTCTGTAGCCTGTTCCCTTCTTCCTGTCGCAGTATGTTTTATCCTATATTTGAGTACATTAAAATGCATTACGATATTCTGGAATTCATACTACTCTCCATATTTCAAGAAGAGTTTTAAAAAAAAGATTGGAGAGGATTTTCTACATCTAAAACTACTGGCTAAAGAAAATATAAAATACCTCGACCGCATCTGGCTTTGGGAAAGGAGAAATGCATCAGTAAGTGAGAGAATATTTTAGACCAGTTCCTAAAAGGGAAAACGAGGCAACTTTTGGTCAGCCTTCTAGTTCTACAATAAACAAATGCAGAGTACCCACCTCCCTTTCCGTGAAGGATTTCCCCCAGCTGTCTCCTTAATTTAATTGATAACAGTCTACTGTTCGGGTCTCTTTTTCATTACTGAATTATTTCAAATTCTCTTTTTCAATCACTGTTTGGATTTTATCTGATTTCTTTGTTAAATAACAATTCACTTATATTTGAAGGTGATCTATCCAGCAAATTCACAACTAACAATCAGGAAGCAATAAGGAAAGAGCTTCAGAGCACAGATCATACAGTAAAGATTATGGAACCTTATGATCTCAGATCCTATTTGTTCTTATTTTAGACAAATTTCTAGCAAGAGAACAGAAAGAAGCTTGCTGGAAATATGCCTGCTGAGAGGAAGAAGTGTTTAAAGCAAAAATATTAATGTGTTGTGAGGTTTATAACATGTAGAAGTAAAATGTATCACATAACTAGCACAAAGGCAGGCAGAAGAGAAATGGCAGGATACTGTTGTAAGGTTCTAATGCTATATGTCAAATGGCATAATGTCACCTTCAGAAAGACTGTAATGAACTAAGGATGTGTACTCTAAACCCTAAAGCAACCTCCTAAATAACACAAAGAGCTATCGTTTAAAAGCCTATAGAGATTAAATGAAATTGTTAAAAAAAAACAAACAAAAAAACAAAAACTATTAATCCAAAAGAAGGCATAAAAAGGAAGGAAACAATTAGATAAAACAAATAGAGAACAAATAGCAAGATGGCAGATTTAAACCCAACTATATTGGTTAATGTTCATTAATTATTAATTATCAAAATACCTTAATTAAAAGGCAAACATTGTAAAAAGGAAGACTCAGATATATGCTGCCTACAAGAAAAACATTTAAATATGAAAATACAAATAAGGTAAAGGTAAAAGGATGGAAAAAGATGTTCTAGTTAATGCTAACTAAAATAAATCTGGAGTGACTATATTGATATCTGACAAAGTAGATTACATAGCTAAGAACATTGCTAGGAGAAAGGATGGCCATTTCATAATGATAAAGTGTCAGTTCATCAAGAGGACATAATAGTACTAACCATATGTGTTCCCAATAACAGAGCTTTAAAATATTTTAAGCAAAAACTGAAGAACTGTAAGGTGAAATAGATAAATTAATAATTATAGTTGGATATTTAAATATCACTATTTCACCACAAAAAGGAGCAAGATCATGTCCTTTGCAAGGACATGGTTGGAGCTGGAAGACATTATCCTCAGCAAACTAACCTAGGAACAGAAAAACAGACACTGAATGTTCTCACTTATAAGTAGGAGCTGAACAATGAGAACACATGGACACAGGGAAGAGAACAACACACACTGGGGCCTGTCGGGGGTGGGATTGGGGGAAGGAGAACATTAAGAAAAATAGCTAATACATGCTGGGCTTAAAACCTAGGTGATGGTTTGACAGGTGCAGCAACCCCCCATGGCACATGTTTACCTATGTAACAAACCTGCACATCCTGCACATGTAGCCAGCAACTTAAAATAAAAATAAAATACCCCACTTTCAACAATTAATACAAGTATACTGAAAATCAGTAAGGATATAGAAGACTTAAGCAATTCTACAAACCAACTCAACCTGACTTACATTTATGGAATACTCCACCCAACAATAGCAGAATACACATTCTTTTTTCTTTTTTTAATATATGTATATATAGATTTTATTGTACTTTAGGTTCTGGGGTACACCTGCAGATCATGCAGGATTATTGCGTAGGTACATACATGGCAATGCAGTTTGCTGCCTCCATCCTCCCGTCACCTATATCTGGCATTTCTCCCCATGTTATCCCTCCCCAACCTCCCTACCCCTCACTGTCCCCCCCTAGTCCCCCGCAACAGACCCCAGAGTGTGATGCTTCCCTCCCTGTGTCCATGTGTTCTCGTTCAACACCCACCTTTGAGTGAGGACATGTGGTGTTTGATTTTCTGTTCTTGTGTCAGTTTTCTGAGAATGATGGCTTCCACATTCATCCATATCCCTTAAAAGGACATGAACTCAAACATTTTTTATGGCTGCATAGTATTCCATGATGTATATGTGTCATATTTTCCTCTTCCAGTTTATCATCGATGGGCATTTGGGCTGGTTCCAGGTCTTTGCTATTGAACATACATGTGCATGTGTCTTTATAATAGAATGATTTATGAACATATGTGTGCATGTGTCTTTTTAATAGAATGATTTATAATCCTTTGGATATATACCCAATAATGGGATTGAACATACATGTGCATGTGTCTTTATAATAGAATGATTTATAAGCCTTTGGATACATACCCAGTAGTGGGATTCCTGGGTCAAATGGAATTTCTATTTCTCCATCCTTGAGGAATTGCTACACTGTCTTCCACAATGGATGAACTAATTTACACTCCCACCAACAGTGTAAAAGTGTTCCTATTTCTCCACATCCTCTCCAGCATCTGTTGTCTCAAGATTTTTTAATGATTGCCATTCTAAGTGGCATGAGATGGTATCTCAATGTGCATTTCTCTAATGACCAGTGATGATGAGCATTTTTGCATGTTTGTTGACCTCATATATGTTTTCTTTTGAACAGTGTCTGTTCATGTCCTTTGCCTGCTTTTGAATGGGTTTGTTTGTTTTTTTTCTTGTAAATCTGTTTTAGTTCTTTGTAGATTCTAGATATGAGCCCTTTGTCAGATGGGTAGATTATAAAAATGTTTTCCCATTTTGTTGGTTGCTGATTCACTCTAATCATTGTTTCCTTTGCTGTGCAGAAGCTGTGACGTTTAATTAGGTCCCATTTGTCTATTTTGGCTTTTGTTGCCTATGCCTTTGGTGTTTTAATCATGAAGTCCTTGCCTATGCCCATGTCCTGAATGATATTGCCTTAGGTTTTCTTCTAGGTTTTTTATGGTCTTAGGTCTTATGTTTAAGTCTTCAATGCATCTTGGAGTTAATTTTAGTGTAAGGTGTCAGGAAGGGGTCTAGTTTCTGTTTTCTACACATGACTAGCCAGTTTTCCCAACACCATTTATTAAACATGGAATCCTTTCCCCATTGCTTGTTTTTGTCAGGTTTGTCAAAGATCAGATGGTTGTAGATGTGTGGTGTTGCCTCTGAGGCCTCTGTTCTGTTCCATTGGTCTAGATCTCTGTTTAGGTACCAGTACTGTGCTGGTTTGATTACTGTAGCCTTGTAGTGTAGTTTGAAGTCAGGTAGCGTGATGCCTCTAGTTTTGTTCTTTTTGCTTAGGATTGTCTTGGCTATGTGGGCTCTCTTTCAGTTCCATATGAAGTTTAAGGTGGTTTTTTCCAGTTCTGTGAAGGGGGTCATTGGTAGTTTGATGGGGATAGCATTGAATCTATAAATTCCTTTGGGCAGTATGGCCATTTTCACAATATTGATTCTTCCTAACCATGAGCATGGAATGTTTTTCCATCAGTTTGTGTCCTCTCTTATTTCCTTGAGCAGTGGTTTGTAGTTCTCCTTGAAGAGGTCCTTTACATCCTTTGTTAGTTATATTCCTAGGTATTTTATTCTCTTTGTAGCAATTGTGAATGACAGTTTCTTCTTGATTTGGCCCTCTGTTAGTCTGTTATTGGTGTATAGGAATGCTTGTGATTTCTGCATATTGATTTTCTATCCTGAGACTTTGCTGAAGTTGCTTATCAGTTTAAGGAGATTTTGGGCTGATGCCATCTGCAAATAGAGACAATTTGACTTCCTCCTTTCCTACTTGAATACTCTTTCTTTTTCTTGCCTGATTGCTCTGGCTAGAACTTCCAATGCTATATGGAATAGGAGTGGTGAGAGCGGGCATCCTTGTCTAGTGCCAGATTTCAAAGGGAATGCTTCTAGTTTTTGCCCATTTAGTATGATATTGGCTG